TCAGCGATAACCAGGTATCGACGACTCCATTAAACGCTCCCTTAAGAGTCCCGTAATGACTCTATCGTATCTGGTCCAATTTTGTAGAACTCTGTAGATCGTTCCGCCATCGATTTCGGTTTATTCTAAACTCACATTTCTTCATTCCTTTCGTAGTAACGGTCTTATCTCCAATTTCTTTTCGTTTTTAGTCTTTTTCTTTTCAGAAATGTAGTAGTTTATCGTATCATCCGTAAATATTTGTGGAATATTGACAGAATTTTAAAAGAATAGTACAATGTATACAGGATAGGCGATAATTTTATGTAATATTTTCGCTATTATTAAAAATATGAAAATTTTATTTACAAAAGTTATAGTCAAAAAAATTATAACATGTTGGTAATATTTTTGGAAGTTGAATAATTTTGACACTTCGTAGATTTTAAAATTATCTCCATTTTTTAATGGAATTACACAATTTTTATTTACATAATATGATTCTAGTTATTCTACGTATAAAGCATAAAAAGTAGAATTATAAAAAAAATCAATAGTTCGAAAAAAATCGATGTATTGTACTTTATTTTAATATAGTTTGACATAATATAAAATATCTCATAAACCATTTTTTGCACAAATCATATCTTAAAAAATTTTTATGTATCGAATAAGAGATGTAACTGATGTAAAAATAATTGTTATTTTTTAAAAAAGTAATTATTACAATTAAAAATGTAGTTGCAAATTGTATAATATTGCATATTTTTTAAAAAGAAACTGTATTTTTTTATGCAAAGTAAATCATTTTATTATTCTGAATAAAAGCACTAAAATATAGTTACAAAAAAATGAATTATTTATGATATACTTTAAATTTCATATTAAAATATGCCAATATAAAATAACTCGTAATTACTGATTTTTTGCAACTCTACTTCAATACTTCATAAAATAATTAAAGGGAAATCATATTACACAACAATAATCATATAATTTTATTTAAAAAATGAAGATAATCTTGAAATCTCTTGAAGCGCGCCCTTATCTACAGAAAAATTATTATTAGTTTATTATGAGATCCTCTTGTTATTATACAACTTCCATAATTAAAGTATTTCTTTATGTCTAAAAATAATGGAAAATATAATACCGTTACTTTTATCATTACTTTTATAATGATGGTTTAATAATAACTTTGCAATTTTTTTATGGTAACCAATCCAAATGTTAAGGTTTGAAAAAAGTCATTTTTGAAAAGTAACTCGTCATTATTGCGCGTGATTTATTGAAAAAAAGTAATTCGTTACAAATAAATAAATAACGAGTTAAAAATAACGATTAAAAGTATTATAACGATGCGTTACAATTAGCAAATTATTATTTTTCAATAAATAACGTGTAATGGTGACAAGTTTCTTTTCAAAAATTACTTTCCGACTTCTTAGAATTATCATTACGTTATAAAAAATTCGCAACGTCATTATATGTTTTCAATTATATTATCTTCGTATTTATGTAATGTCACAACAATAAAACTTACATATTTTTTACTTTTTTTTCGTTTTTCTAATATATCGAGCAATATGTGATTGATATTGGCAATATAACTTTCATTTTTATGTGGAGATCTTGCAAGGAATGCTGCTATTTCTATTCTTGCAGATGTGCAACGAATGGGCGATAGATACACCGTGTCCGGTGGGAGGCCGTGATTTTTGTCGATCGCTGCACATTCTGGACAGCCGGGGGAACAGTGTCTTGGTAAGCATACTTTTTGTCATTTGCTTCGCTTGCTTGTAAGGACCCGCTTGTATCTGTATCCCTCTTCGATATTTATAAATTTATAAATTTTGTATATCATCAAGTTCACACACACACACATACACACACACGCGCGCGCGCGCAAACGCACATACATAAGTGTAAAAAATATGTATATATTTTTTATATGTATGTGTATATTCTTTTTATCGTGAGCCAAGCGACTAGAACTTTTCGCCCTTAACTTGACATATCTCACTTCAAAACTGAATATCGCAGGGATACAAAATATAAAATACATGAAAAATATTTTAAATGAAATGTGCAATGTAAAAAAATTTCTTTTTATGTATAGCTTTTTTTAACTTAGAAATGCTTATAAATTTTAATGAGTCATGTAAAAATATTTTTAATATATTTTCTTATTTTTATATCTACAATCTTAACGAATATCAAAGAGTATCAACTGTGAACATTGTCGGAAGTAATCGCGTTATCGAAACGAAACGAGGCTACAACATTGGGGAAACATTGGGGAAAAAACATGAACCAACAATAACAAATCGACTTTCGATCGAAGTAAATTTCATTACCGCCCAACTGTAGTACATGTACGGTCAAATAAAATCAATTAAAGGTTATCGTATGTGGCTAATTGACTTACATTAGGAAGATAATCGATTTTCGGGCTATTAATGAATGAAGTTACGAGAACGGATTCGAGCTTGGACGTCGAGATGGATCGTTCTCTTGAGCTTAAGCGCTCCTAGAGTCCAGTCGATGTACCAACGGATGAACTTTGATGGAACTTTCCACGCTCCGACGCTTGACGACAATAATGCGCGATAATCTAATGTCGGGTATTATCGACGACAAAACTATAACTATCTAGTTTAATAAGTTATTCCCAACTTTCCAATTTGAAATTTGATACTATGAGAGAATATTAAAAATATGAATAAAAATTTTTGCTCTATACCATCTTTTCTATTTTGTTAAATAACTGTTTTGAAAATAAAGCAAATGCATTATTTCAAGCTATACTATATAAATGCTTAATGTTTGTTGTGAATTTATATACATATCTAGTTCTGTATTTTTTATGATGCTACTTTAAGATGCTTATTACTATCAATATCATTGCATTGCTGTCAATTTAATTTGTAATATTATTATATCTCAGTTTAGAATTGCGTTTCAAGACTGAAAATTAAATCTCCGCGTGCAATCTACAGAAATGGAGATATATATATATATACACAAAGTCACTATATATACACAAATATTATTAAGCACTAAGATCTATCTCGGATCAAATAAGGCATTTTCCTTACGATAAAACACAGGGAAATATTTCTCTCTGATTTTGATGAACTTTAATGTTGTTGTTGATGAACTTTAATGTTGTTGTCTAGACTAAAATAAAAAGCACATATTTTTTGTCTATGTGCATTTTTAAGGGATGCTAATCGATTAGTTTCTTTTGAAACGAATATCACCAAAACTGTGAAATAGAAAAAAATTTTTTAATAAAAGTTCAATAATTTCAATAGTATTTATATAAAATTCAAGAGTTTATATAATGGTAAAACTATTTTTAATAAAAAATTGTTTGTAAAAAATGTTATCATTATTATAAAATACTTTTAAAATCATCAAATTTTTATTACAAAAAATTGTTTTATTTTTCATAATTTTGACGATATATTTCATAAGAAAATAAACTATTTTTTTTATTCAAAAAAGTATCTCCCAAAAATGCATATGGGCATGTGAAAAAAGATGTGTTTATTACAGTTTTATTTCGATCTAGACTACAACATACAATATTAAAAGTTCATCAAAATCGGAAAGAGATTTCCTTTTGTTAAAAATCAATCTAATATCACTCATTGTTCTTTTTTTTTGGAAATATTTACATATTATTCACGATTTCATTGTGATGCAGATTGCTTCCAGTCACTAGATCGGAAAAGTTCAACATCTGTAGAACCTTTATGGTGACGCTCATTCACTCGTTACTTTTACTTCCTTCCGTTTCAGGTAAGCAAGAGTTGCGCCAGCAACGAGGAATGCGGGCCAGCATCGGTCGGTTGTATTCCTATGGATACGCAGCAGGTGCGAAATAGCGAATTTTGTTATGTACCCGGAGGGAGGTTTCTCGAACAATTTAAACGAGACTAAAGACAAAAGAAAACAGAGAAACGAAAATGCAAAAAAAAATAATATAGAAACACAAGAGAGAAATACCGACAGAACCGGGTGAAATAAATTCGGTTATTTCGTTTCAGATTTGCATAAGTTGCTGCGACCTGAGCTACTGCAATATCGAGTCGCCCACCAACGCCACCAACGCGATCTATTCCCGTCAACGACGCGCCAAGTCGAAATCGAAGCGCAAACGGCCCGGTAGAAACGGGGTCGATGCGGCGACGCGACTTTACGGATCCAGCTTGCTCTGGCTTCCCGCCTCGCTCTTCTATGCATATCATTGCTGAGGAAGTAGTAAACACTACTAACCGCGCACGCAAAGCGGACAGCGCGGAAATCGCGCGCGAATCGCACGCTGCGACGGTACCATCGCGTTAAACGACGTGACTCGCCGATCTTTCTCGATCGAACGTTCTTCCCTGTGATTTTTTCTGTAGTGTCACGCTCGCCTAAACCGACGCCGCCGTCTAATTCCGACCAAACTTTCTGACAAACTTCCGCGGAATCGTAGGAAATCTATTCCGTGTTCGATTTTCCACCCTCGCCGAGACTAATCACGGCGACGATTAGCGTCCAATTATTTGGAAAGAAAACGCTATTCCTCTATTTTTCATACTCTCATTTGACATCTTTGTCACCATTAACTTTAATAAAAATCATAAAAATCAGAATTTTGACACATATATGTTATATATGTCGATTGAACGCTTGTGCCACGAGCACGCCAAAGAAACGAGATGTTCGGGAGTAAAGCGTCCGTATGGAATTGTTTGGGAGTAGTTCCAGAAGAGGTTCAGAGGAACGAGATCCGTAGAAAGAATGACGTCGAAAAACTTGGCGCCGTTCCGCGCTGTCCGAAACGTTATTAATCGGGGACTCTCCGAACTAATCGGGTCCCCCGTGATGGCAAAAGGAATTGTTTTCTTGTCGTAGTATCGGTAGTCGCTATGCCTCGAAGTAGAAGGAACTTAAGGCACAAAGAATACGCGGTCGAAGGAGACTTGAAGAAAATCGATAAATCCGAATTCGTTTCCGGCGAGACGACAATCTCGACATTACTACGCAATAGAGTCGATCACTAATCACACGAATATGTAGACAATCTACATCCTGCTTACTTGATGTTCTTTCGCGAAATCAGAAATTAAATAAAATTTGTGATTAAAAGTAATTAATTTAAAAAGTATGATAATAAAATATACTGTACTAGATAGTATATGAACATATAAAAAAACATTTAATATATTTAATTAAACTGATTTCTCTCTCTTGATATCAAAATATTTCGCGTGCGTATATTTCATTTAATCGCAACAGAAAATCGAACGGATAAAATCATTTTATATCACGTGTGATTGGTGGTTAATACATTACGTGGAATATTTGTTGCAATTAAAGAGATAATTGGTCAAAGTAATCATTAAAATTCGCTCCATCGAAACTTTCGACATAAATTTATTAATACTATGGTAATAGCACCGCAGTAAGTGATGCACCAGAAACGAATTCGAATTATCGAGCAAAAATTATATTCACACATCTACAAAACTCGCCTACTACAGACTCTTTAATGCTATAATTATTAACGATTACATAAATATTATATATTACGATATAGATACTATACATTGTTTCGGCATGTAAGAATACTGTTGGTAATGAAATAAAGAAAATTATACTTGTCACGTCCTTTCATTGTCTATATTAAAGACTGAATTACCTATTCTTTTATATCCGCACTTTATTTATTCATATAAATTTAAATACACGCTTTTATTTTATTCATTCCATTAATTTTGATTTACAGGCTTTGCGGCTTTGTAAAGCGGATTAAATTCTGAATTGTGAAATATCGCAATTTCGTCGAACAATACTGACTCCCCACAAATAATAGAATAAATTGAATAAATGTACTCACCGAAAACGTCGCGCCACCGCAACAATTCCTACCATCAGCTGTTTCATCGGTGTTAATTTCTGCTTGAAATGCTTTAGCCTCAGGTCCATCAAGTCACATAGATGCGAGTGGAAACCGCATTTAATTGCAATCGTGCACACTGACGAACCCTTTCGAACATAGTGTATCATCTTGTGGTCCTGCGCATCAATAATTATTCAAAAATTATATCATATCTCTTTGAGAACAAACAAAAATATTTATTTTATTCATTATTTTCCATCGAGACCATATATTACATAATGATATTTTAATATTTTAATATTGTTTTACTTGTGATAAATTATGCATAAACTATATTACATACAAATTATTATACATATATTAATAAAAAAATAGGAGCCCGCGTGATCAATATGGCAGGCATTATATAAACATTAGCCCCATTGACATAGCCAACTTCGACACGAATCCGAATTGAACTGAACCATACCATTATGTGGTCGAGAAAATGCGGTTAATTACGTGCGCGCCAATTAACACGCCATAACAATCGCCCTTTATCACTCCATTGTTCATTTTTGATTAATAATACAAAACGGTTTGATTTTGAATCGATATGATTAAATTTCATAAATTTATTTGAATGTCACGCTAATCAGTATTACTTACTTTAATTGATTCACTATAAAGGGTACTCTACATAGAAATCGTAGATGATCGTGGAGTCTTAAGTCGTAGGAAACCAATCACAATCAAATATAAGGAGAATACTCAATTAGAATTGATCTGTTTCCTACGACTTAAGATTCCACAATCATCTACGACTTCTATGTAAAGAATTAACGAATCGAGCCGTTTATGAGCTCATAGATGTTTGACTGTTTATGCCTCATAGGCGTACATTGCGAGAATACAACAAATCACAATTTTACGCGCTAATCAGTGTGTTACTTTCAAAGTACTAATTGCAAAATATACTTTTGTACCACAGAGAAAACGCAAACGATGCGAAAAAATTTTGCAGTGACCGTTTTCTGATGCGAGAAACCATACGAAATACAATATATGGATTATTTATAGTTTATAGTATACTCAAAAGATTTTGAAACGATGAAAGTCATAAACAATTTGAATTTTATTTGATATCATTTACCCTCGGTAATAAATTTTTCATTAGGCTTTATATAATATACGTACATATAAATATATACTATTACATGTATAAT